GAACAACTGGGTCTCACAAACCTCTCCACGCGCCTCACATTCTTTAAACTCTCTCTCCCTCTCTTCCTGCATCTTCCCTAATTTCGTCTTCCTTCGTTTCCTCTCTCTGTACTCCCTCCCTCTCTTTCCTTCTCTTTGGTGTTTATAAGTCTCTGCATCCCAATGTGTCTCAGTGTGATAGTTTGTCTCAGGGGATACCAGCCACACTCCATCATTCCCAAAACGCAGAACTTCACCAATCCATCATTTCCAAGCAGAAACAAACTCTGACACTTAAAACCCAAACACGCTGATACTGTTATCATTCGAAAACCCTGTCACTGTAAACCATTTATGTCCAACACACTGTCACTATGACATGTCAATGTCAGTCTGTTATTATAGCCAGGGTTGGAGACATCCCATAGAAAGTAAATACCTCCTTTCTCACAATGGCTGAAATTGACACACAAGTATAACCTGGGCAGACCTGGGGCATAGTGGACAACATCACAGGGGCGTAGGGTGGGATTTGCAGAGCGTATTCCCCCACACAAGCCCCTCCATCTTCAATGCAACACATTCCCCCCATAATTATTTATTATTATTATTATAAGAGGACTGCCTTTCCACTCCATCCAGTTCACCTTTGGCCTTTCTCTCTGGTGTTAAGTGATTACATCCCTGATCTTTATTTGGATTCACTCCTGGATGGATGGAGGGACACATGGAAGGAGAAGCTTTCCACAGATTCTGATGTAGCTGGAATCATGCTACCAGTGTAGACCATCCATCCACAGAAGCGGGCTGGGGAAGGGGTTCATCCGTTCAGTGTGTAAGAGTCAGGGTTCATAGAAAACATCCAGTATGTGTGTGTGTGTGTTTCAAGTTTTGCGTTTTATTAGTCGTATGCAAAGGATACACATTGTATACACCGTTCAACAAAATGCTTACTTGCAGGGTTCCTTCTTGACAATGCAACAAAGATAAGAATATGAACATAAAGTAAATGGCTCAGTAGAATAGAATACACTTTTTAATACAGGAAGGCACAATTTATAGTCCAATATTTACACATGTACGTATCAGGGAAGGGGGGAAGGGGGGATTGGGGGCAAGTTTTTAAATTGTGGATTTTTAACAATAGTAAATAAGAGTCTGGTAGCAGCAGTTGTGATGTGGGTGTAGCTTGAACGAGCATGTGTGTGTGTGTGTGTGTGTGTGTGTGTGTGTGTGTGTTTGTACAGATTGGGATTGGACAGAGCAGTGACAGAGGAACAAATTGGGAGCACTGAAAAGGGATTACATTTACAGTAAATGTCACCCAATCACCTGACCAATCTCTATCGCTCTCACCAACTTAAGCCTATCATAACTCATTGCCATCTATCTCGTTTACCCACACACACTCTCTCTATTTCACTCTCTGTAACATACATGAATCTATAGTATATTACACAGACAGAAGTTAATCAGTAATCTCACAGTCACACAGACATAATGTAATCAAATGGACATTGCTTTTCCATTTTCAGTCAATGCCTTTCAAACTCTCCAAGCTATTGTTAGTGTGTCTGTGTGTATGCATGTGCATGTTTGTGTATTTCAAACTATGATTTATTCAGCAAAGGCAATGTGTGGGTAATGACCTTATTCCAGGTGTCAGTGCTTAAAGTGTGTGTGTGACCCTGTAGAACATTAGCCATCCATCATAGGGTTCACCATTTAGCCTCAACCACACAGCAAGATTTTGATAAACCAGACATAGAAAAAGACAAAACACTATTCTCTGTCCTGCTGTTGCCTCAACACTCTCTCACACATTCAGATCTGAGTGAACCTGCAGAGGGGTGGATTGTTTCCCTCTCCTTTTCTCATTTTCTGTTCATCCAGACATCTGCTCAGTCCTTCATTAGTAGTCGCTGGCGTGTGAATTTTGCCGGGGGATATGCTAGGTGTTCATATATTACATAACTCGGCTACTCTCCCCCCTCTCCAAACCCCATCTCTACCCTCACTCACAGATGGTGAGTGGATTTGTTTAAACAAAGCGAAAGCAGGGATTCTACTCTGGAATCATTCAATGATTCCATTAAAGCGATTCATTACATCGCACTACACTCCATAGCTATGGAAATCAACTGAGATTAGTTTGTAGTGGGGAGGGGGGATGAGATGAGGGGGGGGGGGGGGGCTGAGAAAGAGAAGGGGGAACAGAGAGAGAGAGCGTGTGAGAGGTAGAGGAAGAATGTGAAAATGACAAACTGAATGTGTTCAACAGCAGTCACAGTGATTAGAAGAGGTCAGCAGTGAAACAATGAGATGACTAAAAATGCAATCTGCATCTATTCCTCTTGAGCTGACAGGGACCCTTTGCTGTTGAGGCATTTTAAGCCTCACTGTCGTCTTCTCCAATACTCTGTCTTTCAGTTGTTTCCCTCCTGACTGCTGCCTAATTAACACACACAGACTGGAAAAGTATTAATCAGCACATTGGGGAACGGCTGGTTTTCAGATGATACAATCTCACTGGGACAAATACAGCTCCTCATAAACACTCTCCCTTTCTCCTCACTTCACCTACTGTAATACAAAGATTTGTTCATCACTTAATCTTATCATACCTCATCTACCTATAACATGTACTGACAGTACATTGGTACTGTATAAACATGGCTCAGGGTTGTGGCTCAGAAGTTTGCTTTATTGTGCTTTTAGATGGTTTTATAAAAACAAATTCAGAGCGTAACAAAGAGAAAGAGGAATCGTCTCCCAGTATCTTTCTTTACCCTGATTTTAGCAGCTTATGTTCATTACAGAGGACCCCTGGGGGTTTTCTCACTCGCTTCGGTAAACCTTTGAAGGCTCTTGCTGAAGAAGACGCCAGGATTGTCCTGACAGCTTCTGCTAATGAAGACTTTTCTTGGTTTTCACAAATGGCTGTGTTCCAGGCTCTTTGTTGTGAATATCTTGAAAATAAATAATCTAACTCTCCTCTGTTTCTGTTCACTGAAGACTAAAGTAAGGCAAAATGAGTTAAGAATTCAGTGAAGTCAACCATCTTTTTTATTGTGGGAATACCACCTGCACAAAAAATATATATCTTCAAATATTCAACAGCACATAAATATAAAAATATAATTTATTTTTCAAAGACAAACAAAACCAATAGAAAAGTATAAATACATTATTTCATGTACACATCCATAAGAGCCAAGGGTCGACACATTGGCTTGCACAGCATGTTCCCAAAAGCCAAAGCACAACATTCGGTCCCACCATTTTCTTCAATAAAGTATTTGACCACATAGGCTACCTGTTCTAGAGGATGCATCATTCCAAAAAAAATACATATAAAAATGCAAACAAGACTGATATGAGACACACTCCAAGGCCAGCTGTGCTGTGGACATAAGATCCTATATAATCAGGCATTCATTTTTTATATAACACCAGGTGTAAAAGGGGTCTAAGTCTAGATGCAGTAGAGGCAAGACTACATTTTCTTCAAACCACTGCAGAGTGAAACAGTGCCTTCACAGCAGTCCCCAGGTAAAAACACAGTCACGCAATCTACACTATATATACAAAAGTATGTGGAGCCCTTCAAATTAGTGGATTCGGCTATTTCAGCCACACCCGTTTCTGACAGGTGTATAAAATTGAGCACACCGCCATGCAATCTCCATAGACAAACATTGCCAGTAGAATGGCCTTACTGAAGAGCTCAGTGACTTTCAACGTGGCACCGTCATAGGATGCAACCTTTCCAACAAGTCAGTTCGTCAAATTTCTGCCCTGCTAGCGCTGCCCCGGTCAACTGTAAGTGCTGTTATTGTGAAGTGGAAATGTCTAGGAGCAACAACGGCTCAGCCGCGAAGTGGTAGGCCACACAAGCTCACAGAACGGGACCAGGAGAACGCTGCCTGCCCCAATGAATAGTGCCAATTGTAACGTTTGGTGGAGGAGGAATAATGGTCTGGGGCTGTTTTTCATGGTTCGGGCTAGGTCCCTTAGTTCCAGTGAAGGGAAATAACGCTACAGCATACAATGACATCCTAGACGATTCTGTGCTTCCAGCTTTGTGGCATCAGTTTGGGGAAGGCCCTTTCCTGTTTCAGCCTGACAATGCCCACGTGCACAAAGCAAGGTCCATACAGAAATGGTTTGTCGAGATCGGTGTGGAAGAACTTGACTGGCCTGCACAGAGCCCCTGACCTCAACCCCATCGAACACCTTTGGGATGAATTGGAACGCCGACTGATGTTGGCCTAATTGCCCATCATCAGTGCCCGACCTCACAAATGCTTGTGGCTGAATGGAAGCAAGTCCCTGCAGCAATGTTCCAACATCTAGTGGAAAGCCTTCCCAGAAGAGTGGAGGCTGTTATAGCAACAAAGGGGGGACCAACTCCATATTAATGTCCATGATTTTAAAATGAGATGTTCGACAAGCAGGTGTCCACATACTTTTGGTCATATAGTGTATTTAGTCACTTCTGGTTAGACAGTTTCAGGAAAATGACACAAAAATACTTTTTAACTCCTAACAAACTGCATGATAATTTTTTTATTTAATAGTGAAACTATTATGAAATGCATTTTTTACTTCAAATAACTTGAATTAGCAGTATAGGATTCATTGTGCTGTCTTAAAAAGACATTAGTTCAGAGACCCAGGGAAATGTGACCAAATGTTGTCCTAATTTGAACAGATTCATTGTTCAAAAAAGTCAGTTAGGCCTTGAATGTCTGATCAATGTCTGATCATCACAGCACTAATCAAAGATATCAAATAGATTTCCTTTACCGCATTGCTTGCCTCTAATTTTTCATCAAAATAGGGAACAAATAATAATAAATAATGAAAGTTGCAAGGTCTGAAAACACCCCCTTCCCACTTCTGTGATACAGATCTGAAGGGACCGGATGGGATTAAGTTTAGGGGGAGCAATGCTTGTTTTCGGACCAGGCTATGGTACAATACACCGGAGAGCCCCAGAGCCCCTCTGTTGACCCCAGCTAAGCCTGCATGAGCAGGTGCAGCCGTTGACGGGCGATGGCAGAGTTCATGGTCCACAGGAACTCTGCCAGCTTTCCTTTGAGCAGCTCCTCCATGGGAACAAACTGCAGTAGCTGTCTCTGGCCACCAAGAGGCAGACTGTCAGTGTCCTCCTCATCCCTGGCAGGGCAGCCCATACGCTCCTGCAGGTCACTGAGGTGGGGAAGGAGTCGAGCGGCAGCCTCTGGACAGAACCCCACACATACCAGCACCGCCCCCGCAGCACCTGGAGGAGAAGGACACCTGAAGGTGACGGAGCGGAAGGACAGGTGGAGGCAAAGGACGGTTGCCGCGGTTACGCGGGTGAAGGCGGAGAGGAGGGGCAGGATGAGGGCGTTGCCGGGTCCCATGCGGTGCAGGGAGAGCAGGACGCAGTCCAGCAGGTCTCTCTGATACTGCGGCTCCCCGTCATGCAGAGTAGTGCAGCCCGTAGGTGGGAACGAGGGCTTCGAATAGAACTCCAGCGCCAACCCCCCAGCCTGCTCCTCACAATCCCCCCACCACGACGCTCTGCCAAAGACTAGGCACTTTCTGTTTCCCTCGCCATTGCAGGGAGTGATGTCACATAGGGCTGCCACCTCTGAGAGGATGGAGGTGGTACCAACCATTGGGCAGGAGCTACAGGGAGGGACCAGAGTCCAGGCAGCTGACCCATCGATGCCTGAGCCTAGGGCAGCCTGCTCCAAGGCTTCATTGAGGTGGTTCAACAGACCCCCATCACAGAATGGTGAGTTCCTGACTGCAGGGAGGGCCGCCCCCACTACCACAAACCAGGTGTCCATGTGGCATTCTTCCAGCGGCCCTGCCAGCACACAGCCTGTCCCCGTGTCCTCGGGGCAGTGCCCTTCCACCCAGGCAGCATAGCTGCCCTTCCCAACACGCTCCTTCCAGCCCAGGGCCTGCAGCTCCCTCCGCTGGTTAAAGGAGCCCATCTGATTCTTCTGGCCCAGGGGCCTCCGACCCGTAACGCTGCAACACGCTGGGGCCACTGTGTTACGAGACAACCAGCGGGCCCGCGGCAGAGAACTCACCTACACACAGGAACAGGAAAGCCTGGCTTGAACATTTTTATGCAGAACTTTGTATTTGTATTTAACAATTCACTGATACTAAATGAAAGATCCACACAAAAAAAATCCAGGATATGGCCATCTGTCACTGAATATCTCATATTATACTCATCAATAATTATTCTGAAATTGTAGATAATTATCCTAGCACTTTATATAATGTCTAACTATGGTCAAAGGGCATCAGCAAACTTTTATCGAGCTATAGGCTTCGCTATCTACTTTAACTTTGCACATTTGCCACTCTTACCTGGAAGCGCTGCAGGTACTCATGAGCAGTGCAGTCCCTGATGTATTCCAGTCGTTGCCTCTGCTTCTTATTCAGGCCCTCAAACAATCTCAGGTTTTCCCCAATCGTCCCTGTCTGCAGGGCATGGAAGTAGGAGCACGCCTGCTCATGTTGCGCCAGGAACGACTGTGGGAGGAGCCGGCTGGGGAACAGGGCCTCACGGGCAGCCAGGTCCGGCCCGTAGTGACGGATCAGCTTGGACAGCAGGGGCCTCACAGCCTCCTTACCATTGTAGTGCAGACAGACAACGTACACCTCAGAGTTCCCTGCCTTGCTGGTGGCCGGTTTGAAGATGCTGACGGAGCGGAAGCAGCAGTTTAACAGGTAGAGCAGGCAGACGGAGGAGTGCTCATACATAGTAAACATCTTCAGTACAAACGAGCCACCTGGGCCCAGAAGGAAGAGTGCGGCCGCAGCCTCGCAGTAGTGCAGCGACGCCACCAGGGCCTCCTGCTCATCAGGGTTCCCCTGGCAGTCAAAGCTCCCGTCCGCCGTCACCACGTCAATACGGCGCATGTTACCCACAAAGCCCTGCAGCTCCAGCAGGTGCTTCTGGCTCATGATGTCTCCTGTATTGTCTGAGCCAAAGAACCACCAGGGCAGCGTGTTGGCGATGAGGCGGTCGTCTGTGATGGTGGTGCCGCCTCCGTTGGCCTCGTGGTAGGGGTTGAGTGTGTTGGCTGCCCAACTCCAGTCACAGTAGCGCGTGTGCTCGCTGGTTTTGAGGTAGTGGTTCAGAGCGGTGATGAAGGCCCCTGGAGCCTCACACAGGTGAACAGTGTTCAGCTCACCGCTCTCCAACGCCTCCTCTGGCAGAAGGTTGAAGGTGCCCAGGATCTCATAGAACTTGCACCAGGCCTGAGTGCAGATCTCGGCATTGGCGGCAGCTCGCACAGTAGCAATGACCTTCCCAGCACGGTTTGTGGAATTGGTATGCTGGTGCCAGACTTCCAGATCCTTATCGCTAAGTCGGTTCTTCACCTCATTTAGAGACGTCTTCAGGGTCTGCAGGAGGACGTGGTCCTGGGCCGAGTGTCTCAGTGCTTCGCTGGGGTCAGGGATATACCACTCCCCATTGGCCGGTTTGACGTATGTCCTGACTTTATTGAAGAGTTCTCTGACCTCTGCAACCACTTCCGGGTCAAAGGCCTCCACATCGGTGGGCTGCTGCCTGCCAGCTTTCCTCCTCGCTCCCCGGCCCCAACTCATCCTCTCCACCAGACGCCCTGCAGCAAAAACAACAGGGAGGGAGCTCCGCTGAGACAACAACAACCAGTTTGTGATTTGATGACATCCAATGCATGCGTGCCCTGCTTACAGGAAAATGTATTTTATTTACACTCGTATTTGTTAACTTTTTAGTTTATATGCATTAATGCCCGGTCCCAGCTCTGCTTAGCTACTGCCGTCACACTATATATGCATGGGCAGTTGTGGATTACTGATTAATATGTACACTGTGATGTGAATGAAGCCCTGAGGGCACAGTATGTAGACTAACCGCTAGTACCATAACGATTTCTACCATGGTATAGGCTCGGAGTCTGAACACACTGATAAAATAGGCCTAACTGAATAAACCTTTCTAAAGCATAACCCAGCCTGCAATCATTCTGAAAGTCCAGCTACATTGTTGTTAACGTGATTTAACTATGATGGAAGAGTAGGCCTTGCCTTATGTTAAATGGACATTTGGCAGCGTACATTAATCATTTTCTGCATCTCAAGCAACAGCAAGCAGACGGGTCAGCTTGTTACACCTGACTGACTAGTTAGCTAACCTCCTACTAAATAAAGCTAGCAAAAACGTTAGGCATTTCATACAATGTGCCTAAAGGCGTAACAAGCAAGCTACATCTTTTTTTTTGCTGCCTTTAATACACATTTAAGGGATATTATTTTAATGGTCACATCACATGACATGATTATGCGAGTCGCTAACAACGCATGTGTCCCTCTCCGTGCAGATGCAGCGGCTTAGTCTGGGTTGCTAAGCAGGAAACTACGGGGTCGCCTTTTAGGCCTACCTAAGCTAATTTCGCGTTAGTTAGCTACGCTAGTTTCTCTATCATCGAGGAACATCTCCAAATGAGTAACAGTAGCTAGCTACCTTGCTTGTTTACTGTACAATCACTTCCATAATAGGTACGTTACACGTTTACAACGCTTACGGTCGTTACCTTTTGTTTGTAACTTAAAACTTTCCCACCGGTCATAATGCTAACTTTGTTCCATGGTCGTGAACTACACAACTCAGATTCCTACCTAGCTAATGCTAGGTCAGCTAACATCCTCTTTGGCTCAGCACAGCTGGCTTCCCAGCAGACACTTCGCTGCAGCTGTGTGGGGGGGGGCCACGGCAGCACCCGCTGCTCGTTGAGAAGAGTAAGAACGATACGTGCTTTCACGTCAGAGTCTCCAATAACACCAGAAAAAGTCGCTAGATTAGTCGCTTTATTGAAAATGTGTCGCTAGAGGGGTCTGAAAAACTCGCTAAATATAGCGACAAAGTCGCTAAGTTGGCAACACTGGCTGTGTGTGGTTTGTTCCAAGAGTGAGACAGATGTGCTCTCCCCTCCCAACAATTAGGCTTCTTCGGTGAGGTTTAACGGCAGTTGGCGTCCATTATGTTGCATTACTGCCCCCAACTGAACTATAGATCCATTACACTTTAAGATACAGAATGGGAAAGGGGAACCGGATGTAAAAAACAACAACAACAAAAACATGTTTTATTACCCTACCAACAAACCCTATACTCATTAAAACCCATCACCTTATTCCACTACTTTAACCCTATCTGATCCTACCCCAGGCCAACAGCCTAAGAGGAGGGGACACTACCACTCAACACATGATGTAACTCTTCAGAAGTTGAATCTCATACCCCCAAGTACTTCTCTGCAGCTGCCACCTACAAATCTATTTTCTGTGACTTACATTTAATCTCTGCGGTACAATTGGCAACCATTGCTATGAACGCTAAGAAGCCAACCTTACTGAAACATACTATCACTCATTGTCCTATTCCTGGCACAGATCTACTATTCACAGGGAACCTCTCAGCATCCTTCACCCTTGATCCACCCTCCTCCTTGACCCATCCTCCTCCACTTTTTTCACTGCCTCAGCATATGACACCCTCTGCACTACTCTGACTACTTCAATCTGCCTCTCTCGCACCGGAGACTTCAGATCCCCAGCAACATGAGCACCCCCACAATTGACACACACAACTTTATCCACCAAAACTTTACAATTATCTGTCCCATTCCCTCCTGCACACTTACCACATCTTGGAATCTCCCTCCTACACACTGCTGCAACATGACCATAAACGTTGCACCTGAAACAGCGCAGTGGATTCTGCACAAAAGCTCTAACAGGATATATCCTGACATGACTTTGTCTGGTAGAGACTCTGACTCAAAACTAAAAAGGACTGACAATGACTCCTCTGTTTCACCACGATCCCCACCTGGTCTGCGTCGCACCAAAACGCAGGAATCACAAACACCAGGAATTTTCTACTTCAATTGCTCCACCTCCACACTTAACGCTACCACAGAAATCACTCCTTTCAATGGTGCCCTACTCCTAACAGCAAAGCAAGAAACAGACCTTGACCCAAGTTCGTGACACGAAATGCCTTCTCCCTCAGGTCATAAGTAACATAAGTAACCCCATCCAGCCTCTCTAACCCTTTCACACAATCTCTCCCCATCTACGTCATACAATTCCCAAAATATCAACACATGCTCCACCGTTTCCTCCACTAAACAGTCATCACACAGACCTGTTTCATGTCTCCCTATCATCCACAACGTGGCATTCAAACCTGTGTGCACAAACCGTAGTCTACTCCACACAACTTCCTCTCTCACACATCCCATACTCCCCACCTCTTCCTTTACTGACTGTTGCACACGATAAAATTGCCTCCCCTTACTACTAGCATCCCACTTCCTTTGCCAAGAATCAAGCCCTTTTGCTTGACTTGACTTCCCTGCGGCCCAGCCGGACCTGAATATCTACCCCCTCTCTCCTCACAGCACTCTTAGCCACCACATCGGTCTTCTCATTACCCTCCACACCCACATGGGGGGGAACCCAGCAAAAGCTTAACAACGCTCCCATCCTCTCCAATCCCATTAACAGCACCATCCTCTCCACAAACAAGTCTCCCCTATCCGACCTGCCCGTCTTCACACTACTCAACACTGCAGCTGAATCAGAGCAGATCATCTCTCTGAGTGGTTTCACCTCTTCCACCCATTTCAAACCTATAATCAAGGCCATCAACTTGGCTGCATACACTGACACACAATCAGTTAACTGCTTAAATACTCTAACGTTGTTCTTCTTCTTCTTTAAATGTGTATTGGCGGATCGCAACCGTGAGGTGCATACACTGCCACTTACTGTACTGGAGGGTGAGGCCATTCAAGGCCTCCCTATTAATCAATTCCTCTTATCTAGCTCTGTGTTTCCACCTACTGTTCTGGAGTGTGAGTTCATTACACTTCATAGAAAAATTGCAATACCAACTAACCTTACACCCATTAACCCCACCCCAGTTATCTCCCCTTTCAACAGCGCCCTGCTCCTGGGAGCAAAGCAAGTCACAGTACTTGTCCCTAGGCGCTTGGTACGAAGCGCCCATTCCCTCTGTGTGGTAGAAAAGCTAAAAATCATCATGAGTCCTCTTCAAGATACTTTCGCCAACTCAACAGTCCCCAACCTCTTCTCCACCCAACCTAACACCACATATGGATCTACCAGAAGGCAAGGATCCATTCTTTCTAAAAAATCTCAGTCACACTGGGCCAGAATCATCTTTGTCATCATCAGGACAAGGCTCAATCTCGGCAGTCTTCACCGCATCTGCCACCACAGGTAATTCATCCTCACTCATGTCAGGTGTAGAGGTAGATGTTGCCTTCTTCCACCTTTTACTTTCCTGTTTTCCTGCCATGCTGAACATACTTTCATTGACCTCCACGCTCTGCCGCCTTATGCTGTCTCTTTTCCCCGCCAACAAGACTGACAGACTTTCTTATTTTTCTCCATTCACCCAGCGGGTAAGGCGCCGGGCACCAACAACACCAGGAATTCAATGTTAACATCCATCGTCACCCCTGAGATGACTCCTTTAACGGGCGCTCTGCTCTGAAGTTCAAAGCACGATACTTATGTTGTATGGATTATTTTGAGGCTTACTGCAATCTTCCTCTGTTCTTCAGAAACACAATTAATCAGAATAATAGCACTTCTGGTCACTTTGATAGATTCCTCTTTTCCCAGCGCATGCTTCAACATCTTCGACACCTCAAATTGGACGCCCAGGTATGCATCCTTAATCAACAAACGCATCCCAACAAGAAACAAATCATTATCCGACATACACAAAGATCTATCCTCCACTCCAACTTTAGACAATTTCCTTTTTGCTCCATTCTTTGACACTACTGTTGTTCATTCTGCTTCACCAACTTTGCTCAACGCACTGCTCGATTCAACCCCGGCATCCACTTCCGCCATCTTCCTCCGAATCGACCGCTTCCCACTTTAGGGCTCTTCTTCCCCCGTCCTAGTCGTCCTCCCATTATTAGGCTATATATAAGCTTACATCTTATCACTCTTTTGCTTTTCCACCAGATCCATCTGGATTTTGTGCATTTTATAACAAATCAATCCAGTCTGTGAACCTCATCCAGACAAACACCCACACAAAACCAATGGTTTGCTACATAACATTTTGAAAAGATTGGATGATGATGACCTTAGGCTGCCTGGTTGGCAATGGGAGGTGCTTGACTTGGTCTGAAATAGGTGCCGGTACTATTTTTGGGTCCGGTACTGTTTGTATTTAGGTGCTGGAACTCTGCAATAGATTTAAGCCAATATTTAAGGTGTAGGAACTCAAGAAGTAGAACATTTGAGGTGCCAGTACAGTTCATGTGAGCTTGGGCCGAAGTCAAGCACTGGCAATGGGGCCATTAGGGCAATCCCACACTAAATAGTAAAGACTGACCTAAGTCCTCTGACTGTACCGAACCATTGGGAAAACCAGCAATCCACAACTTCACCCCCATCCCCCAACGTCTCAGCCTGAAGAGTGGGGCTGCGGGTGATGTAATGGCCTTAATTTGACATGATAATAGTTCGTTTATTAGTCTGAGAGAAAATG